TGGGAGCTCTGAGCTCTCCTTGGCTTTCTTTGAAAGGTAAGGTGTAGATCTAGCAGAGCTCTGCCAGCCTGCCTGGGGCTGGGTATGGGCAGGGCCTGTGGGTGCTGCCTGCGAGGCAGGCAGGGCTGGAGCTGCTTGTCCCAGAGCTGCACCAGGGACTGGTGCTGCCTTGGCTGGAGGATCTGCATCCTGCCCAGGGAAGAGCTGTGCAGCAGTCATCTGCTTAGCCTGGATATTTAGTCAGGAGGGGATTGTTTTCTGTGGAGGCAAAGGAGATGTCAGATTCGGTTGCCAGAAATAGGTGACTGATACAAGCCCAGCTTGTATGGGGATGTTTTCTAGTATCAGTAGTTAAATGCATTGGAGGCAAAAAAGGTGAGATAAATCCTGTTTATAGCCTTTTACTTTGGCAAAGAAAAGTAAATTTGCTTTTCCTGTTTTTGGCTTCTTTCATATCTCTGTAAAAGGGGTTCAGTTATGGAGGTCGGAGTAAGTGCAAAAACTGGCATTAAATTCCCTTTATTTCCCATTTCATTCCCATGGGGATTTAGGGAGGAACTGCACCAGACAGCGCATTTGTCGGGGCTTTGGTCTTTATTTGAGCCCAGAAAGCTCTGTTTCTGCTTGATCCTGATGAGACTGATGTTGAGGAATTTGCCACCAGTGAAAAGGCCACTGAGCTTTTGGGGAGGGTGAGACTGCAAACGTTCACTGTTACTTCTGGATGAGAAAGGAAAACAGCATGCATGGTAGCCTTATTTAACCTGCACACTGCCCCTCAGACAGCCTGACATCAGGCCTGCCGCGATGGCAAAACAGTGCTGCTCTGAGTCTGCAAAAATAATCAGGATATTCTGCTGCGGCAGGGACTGGGGCCAAGCAGTGAAGACAATCTGCCTTTGAATGCAATCAAATGTGAGTTTCTGCTCCGGAGGCTGGAGGAAATGCCAGGAGGACAATTTAAGCACTAGCAGGACGTCTGGCCCCAGAGCAAGGCAACTTGCCAGCCTGCGTCGACTCGCTTGGCCACTGCCGCCTGCCTCCCTCTGAGGAAGTGCTGTAACGTCTTAAGAAGGTTTGTCAACCGAGACCTTTGGTCGTCCACTATTTAAAAGATACCCAAACTGTTACGGTGGCTGCTATAGCTAATGGTAAAATTCACAGCAAATTCTAACCAATATAATGATTTAGCTTGAATTATCTGGACCAAAGAGTAATGGGGAAATGTTAATCATCACTGTTATCATATTTATTCATGGTTTAAAATACTTTCAGGACAGATTCAGTTTCTTTTTCAAGCTGAAGAAAAGAAGGTTTACAAATACTGCAGCTGAGCATCTGTTAGACCTCTTGCCAGTCTCTGTCCAAACTTGGATCCAAACACTTTTCACTGTCAAGGTAAAATTCCCAGCTGCAGCAGTGCTGGAAATTTGCTCTTCATTCATTTTTCCTCTAGTTCCAGGAATGAAATAACACTATCAAAAATGCATCAAAACAACCCTGGAAAAATATTTGCTGTCGTACAGAATGCAGGAGATAAGAAGACTCACAAGTCACAGCAGTTTCTGTGCATATGTCCTCAAATCAAATGTGTATGTTATTTCTTCCAGACTAATTTTTCTACAACAGTTGAACTACCACATCATTTGCTATAATGTCTCTGTGTTTTTTTCTAAGAAAGACAGCTCTTGTTTGTACTCTCCTTTGAAGCAGGGAACAGTAACTCTTACACGTGATGGGATTTATTGTCCCAGCTGCTCTTAAACAACACAGGCTTATAGTCAAATCAGTCTGACAAATAAAATTATTAGTTAAACCAATATGAGCATGAAAGAAACTCAGTGAAACTTCTCATCAGTATTTCACAGTCTCCTACCTGAATAAAGCTCTTTTGCTCAGACTTTGTGAACAGCTGGGTCCATATATATTTTACAACCCCAGCATTAAATATATTATGTCTTTCAAGCAAAGAGCTGGATGAAGTAAAGGCAATTGAATACTGGATTGTTGGTGTTTGTAGTAGGAATAGACCAAAGCAGCTGGTCAGAGCCATCCTTGAGTTTGTTTCTCAGTGAGCAGAGCAGCCCTTGTTTCAGCTGTGCTTGGGGCTCGCTGCCTGGGGTTTTGATGCAGGGGATGGCAGGCAGCTCTCATTCCCATCAGCCTCTCTCCAATCGTATACCCAGGCACTCTGGTCTTCTGATTCATGGCCTGTGCTGTTGGAAACTGGGTTGCTGAACCACCACCACAGCTGGATGTCATTGCTGGTGTCATTTTCCTGGTACACAGAGGGACTTGCTGCTTTTTCAGTCATTCAGGGATAACCATTACTAGTCTGTTCTGTCAGGCACAAAGATATCTCACTAGCTCAGCAGATCAAGACAGTATATACTGACAGTCAGTTATAGCCCCCATTTTAGAGCTGAGGATGAAGATAAGGAGGGTTTTCCTGCCAGCCCACATCATGGTTGGTAGCAGACCTCCCAGCCCTTTATCTTCCAGCTCTGCTGACTTTTCTCCCTTTCCCTTGCCTAGTCTCCCCTGTGGTTTAACACAGCAAAATGCCCACTGGAAAACAAAAAAAACCAAACTATTCCTGTTCACGATGTCAGGGAAGCTGAGCTTCACTCTGATGGCACGTGTTGGGATCCTCTCCAGGGGTGGCTGTAGGGGTGGTCCAGCCTTGCCCCAGTGGGGTGGCTGGGGGGCTCAGATAATCCCCTCCTAGAGAAGGGCTTTGAGAGGGAAAGCCCTTTAGAAAGCAAAGAGATTAATCACATCTGGAGGGTGAAGGAGAATGGCAGATCAGTAGCACAGAACAAAGGGAAAAGAAACTGAGCACCTGGGGAAGGGACTGGGAGGGAGAAACAGAGGATTTAATTTCTTTGTGTCTTTCTTGGGTAAAGCAGATATCCAGGGAATGCTGTGCCCTGGCCCTGCTCTGCCACACACCATCTGCTGAGAAATGGGTTTCATCATCCTGCTCTGCCCATGAACATCTCCCGGAGGGATAAATCCTCACCTTTTCACAGGCACCCAGGCTGGGAGTTGTGTCCTCGGTCCAAACTGAAAGGACATTAACTAAGATTGCTTGTGGGTGTAAGCAAAGGCAAACCATCAGTTGTACAACTGTGACTCCTCTGTGCAGAGCAGACCTTTGCTCTGTTTCCCTGAACCATCCAAGAGGAAGATTTACAAGTGGAGCAGCAATGGATGTCTCACAGGGACAGAGATCAGGGATGTAGCTGCTTGGAAAATTTCAATGCAAAACTGAAAAAAAATAAAATTTAATCAAAAAAAGAAAACTGCAGGTTAGGTTTCAGCCAAAAATATTAAATGTTGAGGGGAAATGCTTCGAAATGGCAAGTGATTAAAGAATTGTGGTTTCCTATGAAAAAAGCAAGAGAAAAATTTCCAGGAAAGTTTTTGCCTAGTCAAAAATGTTCTTTTCCATTAAAAAAAACCAAACACAAAACCCCACAAACCAAACAAAACTAACAAAGAAAAGAAAAGATTGTATCAATTTCTTCGCAGTCCTGGTTAGGCCCAGCATTCCTAAGAGGACCATATCCACTAGATGTCAGTCTATTTCCATGCAATGAAAACAAATGAGCCAGAAACGTCTCAGGAGTTTTCCAGGATGAGGATATTTCCACTGAGCTGTCTTCTGTCAAAGATGTTGCCAATAACTCCTTAATTTCTATAAAATTCCTCAGCTTTGGATTTCCAGAGTTTTTCAGAGCCATTGCAACACATTCCATGGACTATGCCAGCCAGATAATTTTCCACTACCACATCTAACCCCCATCTGACCTTTGATTCACCAGATCTTTAAAACATTTTAAGCAATATCTGAATAGCACATAAAAAGAGTTTAATCCCCCCTAACTCCTCCACTCCTCACACCTCCCCCTTCAGCTCATGATGTTACTGATTTTACAGAGACAGAGAAACAAGCACCTTATCTAGCTGAGGTGTGTGTATGCAGCAGCAGATGTCTTTCTGCAATATTTTACACAGCTGAAGTAAACGTCTTTCTCCCTGATACCAACATGTGAAGACAAATGGGGTGTATTCCATGAAACATGGCCTTTAACAACATGTCTGTGATTGTCCTGCTCTCAAAAATCATTCATTTTGGGCTGCAGGTGTTCCAAGCAAAGGCCAAAAAACCAAAGGTAATGCCTACAGAAAAGGATATTCTTCCTACCACATGTGACAAATGCTGTGATACTGTAAATTTCTGACATTGACTTTCACTGCTGAGTTGACTTCTGTGGAATTTATGGCAATTGTATCACAAGAAAATGTGGCCATCAGTTTCTAAAGGCTTTGGTCTGGATTCTTTCAGTGTATTCTGCTGCTTGTATCTTCATCAGTATTGCTTGAGCCTTCTTCAGTATTGATTCTGTTCCAACAAAAATACACAGGATTTACCTGTGGCATGGAATGCAATAAGAGAAATTATCTAGACCCCAGATTAGAATGGTACTTTATCCCTAGCTGCAAATATATGATATTAGGAGGCGTGTCCTTGCAATCACCCTGCTGAATTAGAACCTGAATTTTCAGAAGATTGAGATTCCCATTCACATACACATGTGACCACGATAACAAGGGTAGTTAAGGTTTGGAGGGAGCCAGCTCTTTTGAATAGCACACAGAAAACACCTGGTCAATATTGTATAAATCTGCCACGACGTGTGTGTTGAAGCCTTTTCCTGGTGATCAGTTGTGATTTCTTCACATTTAGATGAAACTGTGAATTAAAAAAAGTCATATTTAATTTTTTTTTTCCTGAAAAAGTTTTTTTTTTGGTACAAGTAATTTGCAGCCAGTACTTGCTGCTGAACTTCATAGGCTTGCATAGCTCCTACACTTTTAATACTGGATTATTTGGAGACAGATAATCACTTGGCAAGAGAAAAAAATGTGTGTATCAGATTTGGGTTTGCAAGATATGGACAAAATAGGAAAGAAAAAAGAGCCCCCTCAGTCATAAAACTTCAAACCCTCACCTTTCTTGCAGAGTGAAACTTGAGAAATGTACCTCCTCATATTAAATACCCTCCTGTTCTGCTAGGAGGTGGGCCTCAAGACATGCTTCATAATAATGGTTCTGGGAGAGACCAAGGGAAGTTTTCTGGGGGCCAGCGCTCACGCTGGTAATGAAAGGAACACGTTGAATTACAAATACTGATGCCTCATCTTTCCCGAGAAGATGCTGTGACTGAGCTGTACAAATCAAACCTTTATTTCTAAGAGAAGTGGCTGGTATAAGAGAGAGGTGTAAATAGGTAGTTAGTAAGTTGAGTGTCTTGGTCTTGACCGAAGGTTAGTGCCAAGAAAATTGTCAGTAATGAGACCCAAGGAGCCATGCATGTGTAGCTCACTCAAAAGGAGCCTAAAGAAATCAGCAGCAAAAGTCTGGGGGAAAGCGCTATCTAGATACATGTTCTGACTTGCAGGCGCTATTTCCAGCCACATTTGGCTTTCATTTACAAATCCTGCTTTGCACATGGGGTCTGTCTCACAGGTGTAGTGTGTTCCAGACAGCAGAGATCAAACAAAATTGGATAAATCTGCCTATTGAGACTTAACACATGATGTGTGCTGGAAGATATGATACAACACCTTTGGTTCTCTGTAGTTATTCATGAGTTGGAACATACTCTTATTTAAAGAGGTTCACTGAAAAAACTGTTTTTTTACTTTGTTCTAGCCTAACACTTGCCTTCAAACAACTGGGGGGGATTTTCCCTGTAGCAGCAACAGTTTATATGAGCTGTGACCTCTCAGGTAGGTCCTCTTTGTTTTTCAGCTAGTCCAGGATCTTTAGTCTGTCTGCTGGTGCTAATTATTTCTCTTGGGTCTTTGGGAACACAGTAATCAAGCAGTTAAAACAACAAAAGAGACAACCCAGCCCTGCTCTATCCCTGTGTCATTCTGCTGTTTCATGAGCCCTAGATTAGAGGGTTAATCGAAAGCTTTAACTCTTCTCACATAATAGTCCAGGTGCCTTTAACAGTTGGGGAATAACAATGATTTTGGCTTCAAATTTGTTCAACTTGCTGCAAAGTCACATTTCCTTTCAGCTAGATAGCAAGTTTAGGCTTTGCATATAAAATCATCTGGGAGAAGACATTCTCAACACAGATATTTTGGGCTCTTCCTTTGACCAAAAATGTATTGCTTCCTTTCACATAATTTTCTTTCTGGATTTGGTTCCAGGGTTAGGAAGTACAGAAAAGTTTACTCTATTCTGAAAATACTGCTCAGTAACAACAACAGAAAAGAATCCAAGGCTCTTGTAATTTTTTTTCACCACTCACTGGAAAGAATCTGCTAGAAAACGTGTTGCTAATAATTGCTGTATGTAAGCTGTCTTGGGGATTTATTCTGAAACCCCTTTCCCTGAAGAGTGTCCTTAAAATAATAGGAAGGCTTATATGTTCCCACAGTCCTAGAAACTATGTAGTGTGGGTTTTACCTCAGGCTAAGGCTGCATCAGCTTAGTTGAAGGAATAATGGCTGGGTGAAGATCTTTCTTTGAAGGACCCACAGTAGTTTTGTAGACTGTGAATGAAGAGATGAACCATCATCGTATTCTTGTACAGAAACTCAAGAAGTGTTTCAACCCAGGGATTCATTTAAAAATGTCTCTGTTGTGGAAGGATTATCTGGGACAAGCACTGGGAGGTGGAGGAAAGACTGAGCAAAGACTAAGAGAAAACTACTGCAAATGGTAGCAGTAGGTCTCCAAAACATTAGTACAAAGCCTGCAATGGTAAAAGTGGTCCAGAAATGAAACTCGAGGTATAGTACTACTTTTGCAATGAGGAAAAGCGGCTGGTTGAAAGGTAATCAAAAGTGACTAAAAAAAGGAACAAGTTTTAATAAATCTAGGGAGGCATCTGTGAAGAGGAAAATTTGTGTCTTCTGACAGAAATGTCAAGTCTACAGCAGATTGTTTCTCTCCAGTCTTGAAACCAGTCTTGAAAATGACAATTTGGAAATGTCACACACCAGCAGACAACTTGAATGAAGTTACTGGCTCAGCAGTTAAAATGCTGATTTACAAAGCCCCAAGAATGGTACCTGCTCCATAAGGGAAGATGGAGACGAACTCCACTGCCCCAAGATGCTGCATCTTGACTTGGTGTGATAAACTGGGAGACCAAGAGTAATCAAGTAGGCTCCTAAAGGAGAAGCTGTTGGCCATCAGACCCTCTTTTTGAGGCCAGGAAAACCTAACTCAGAACTGTCCCTTAGAAACACACAGATGACTGGGTACCATCCTAGGATGCATAATCTTTACTTTGCTGCATTATGAATTTTTTAGGAGCTGTGAGACTTGTTTGGGCACTCCAGAAAGTGCTGTCATAGTGCCAGGACCAGACCTCAGGGCTGTCTGAAATGTTGAGATGGGCTGTCAGAAGACTGTAAATACAATGTCCAGACCCCTAAAGACTGGATAGATGTGGTTATACTGCTGCAGTAAATGCTGCCCTTCCGCAGGTGATCAAACCTAGAATCTGGATAAACAAAGTAATGCACAAGTGTGCTAGAGGGGAAAGCAGCTACAACAAGCAGCAGTTTCTCAGATCAACTCCGGAAAGAAAACCAGTAAAAAGGATGCATAAAACAAAAGGTATAGTAAAAAGATGAGAGATGGATGGAAAAACAGAGATGGTATCACTGGAGAAGCTGCTGACAAAGATGATATTGAAACACTTGATCGGCTCAAGTAGATCCAAAGTGTCATACTTGCACTGCTCAGCTCATCCATGGTAACAGAGGAGAGTGCAGAAAACAGGGAGAGTGGGGAAACGTGGTGACAGCACTCTCCAGAAGAGCTGGACAGATTAATACTACGAATTGGTGCTACCTGAGGCTAGGGAAATGCCAGGCACCTGCAGGTAGACACTGGTACTGCAGACTACGAGGACAGAAAGGAGAGGTGAGGGAGTGGAGTGGAACATTTTATGCAGAAGCAATAATACACTACTAAGACCTTAACTACAAACCCCCTTTGAATCAATTTACTGAGAAAAGGAGGTAGAAGTATCTGGATAGATGTTTAAGAATTTTAAACAGGTTGCTCTGTCAGGACAATCTGCTGGAAAGAAACAAGAAAAGAGCTGACTAGCAGTAAGCTTCTGTTGAAGTCAGGCTGAGAGGGAAAGTTTCTGTGTCTGAACATCAAGATGTAAGACGAAGTTGAGAGATTTACACTGTTCTTGCCCTAAGCAGTGTTTGGCAGACTAAATATGATTCCTCTTCAAGGTACAAATTTAAGTTAGCATTTAGGTCTAGAGTATGGCCTAAAAGGAGGTGTGTAGTATCCGTATTACTGATTATCCATATTAATTGTGTTTAAGTGTTTAAGGCTATGCTGGATGAGGCTTTGAGCAGCCTGTTCTAGTGGAAGGTGTCTCTGCCCATGGCAGTGGGGTTGGAACTAAATTATCTTTAAGGTCCCTTCTGACCTGAACCATTCTGTGATTCTATGATTATCATTTGATAATTGTACTTTGGGGCAATATAGAGTTTAAGGATGAGTTTTCCACTGCCAGAGCAATGTTTAGCAAGGTTTTATGACCAACATTTCAGGAATCAACTTTTCCTCCTGAGATTTTTCAGAATGGGAGATTTTGACACAAGCTCTAAGAAGGTCACAAAAAGAAATGAATGGAATTGTTTTGCCCATATAAAAATAACTGGGAAACGCCAAAATTCATCATTATTGGCAGCCTCAGGGCACACTGCTGCAAGTCAGTGTTGCTGGGACAGTGCAGGAGGTTTGGACCATGTCTGCTTGCAATTTGCCAAGTTCTCATTGTTGCTTATTCATTTCTCACTTTCCAGCATAATAAAGTCAACGTTTTTCATATTTGGATGGCAAAGTCCAGCTGAGTTAATTAAATCAGAAGTGAGCAGGATACCAAGTGATTTCATAGAGTGTGTCAGTTGTGTTTCTTATGCAGGAGATTTTCTCAGTATGCTCTGTTTGGAACATGGAAGAAAAATGAAAATGTCATAGTATTTCTCCCCCATTTTTAGTGTGCATGACGAGTAATGCCCTTCTGACTGTGCCATCTTTGTCAGGAGAGATTGGCAGCTCCTCCCAAGCTCTGTGCCCAACTGGATAAGTCACAGAAGAACAGCCTTAGGCTTCAGACCGCCATCCAAATTGGTGGAGTTTGACAAGTTATTACATGTCATCTGAGCCACAGTAATTCCATGGATGTGCTTTAAGCATGTGGCAAATCTAAGTTACTGTACTATAGCTTTAGATGCTTCCACTGCAGGCTAAGATAATCTGTAGCATTCAATTAAGAGTTATATTCTGTACTTGCTTTGCTGGGAGAGTTACAATACAAAGAGAACAGGGATTTTGCATCTGGGCTACACATATGATATGGCTATGCAATGGTTATGAAATAAGCTTTCTACAGTTCAAGACTAGGGACGGACTAGGTCAAACTTTGCCTTCAGTATGTTTTGACCTTTATTTGCCCAGAGAGCTGAATAGCTCTAAGCTGTCCTCCTTTCTGCTTCCAGCTGTGTCTGTTTTCCTCTCACACCTGTATATAACATTGTTTGGTCAGACTTAGTGAGGACTGACAGTAGCTGGTAAATAACTGTGATAGAGAGATTTCGTAGTAAGGAGGCTGCCTCTCCAGGAACTGCTACAAAGGTGATATGCTTCACAAAAACTATGAGCAAAGCCAAGAAAGGAAGAGTTTATTTTGCTCAGGACAAGGATAGCAGGATTTGAACCCTACAAACTTAAATTTGCTCTTTCCTTTTTTGTTTTGTTAACAGCATTTTCTTGCCAGGTGCCTACATTTTCAAAGTGATATTATTCAGTGAATCTCATTGTATAAGAAATGAAAAGTGCCTTAGACTTTTGTCTGTGATAGTGAGATGCAGAACTTGGCAAAAATGAAATTTGCTTTTCTTGCCGTTAGGGATATAACAAAGTTACTTTTTAGGTCTGTACTCTCATTAGTTTTTGGATTTATTTATTCATCAACAAATATATAGTACAAGCCATTTTTATTAAGAACAGCAGTGTCAGGCTCTCACAACATGACTTCATGAGAATTCAATGAGGTCAAAACACAGCAAGTAGCTAACTGATTCCCTCAGGTAGCATTAAAGGAGAGGAAACTGAACTGCCCACATGCACAAGACTGCTTTCCATGGATTTTCCATTAAATGTTCTGTCAGTTTGCTGAAGTTTTCTTTACTTGTTGAAAGCAGCCAAACTAATATTACAGAAAAGAGTAGTTAGAAGTGAGAGAATAGTACTCTGGGAGTTTCCTTCAGATTTGGGAATTTCTCTGTAGTTTTTTTCCAGATTCCCAGCCAACCACAGGATAAACTGATACCTACCTCAGTGCTGTACACAGTGTTGTAATGTCTTGCAAGACCAGAAAAAAAATGTTTTTGTGACATGCTGAATTTTTTTTTCTAGTTTTTAGCTTTTTTTGTCTTAAATCTATATTGTAAATAGTGCTAGAGGAATGAAGTCAGTGTGGGATCAGTTTAGAGAATGATTGCTACTAGTGTGTAATACTAGGCATCGAAAAGAATGAGTGTGGATGTCTGAAAATACCCAAAGGGAAACCTTTGAGTACCCACCGCAGTTACGTTTAAAATACACTTTTAGTCTCCAGTCACTTGGTGGTGCTCTTGAGTTGTATTTCAGCTTTGAAACAGATAATGTGCAGAAAGGAATACGTTACTCAATTGTTCTTCCATTTTCACTCCTCTCTCATCTGAATACTGAATTTAGGGTAGGGTCCCACTGCACACTCCTGAGCTCTTTCTTAGGACCCTCCTGCATAGACTCGCTGTGAGTTCTTCTATGCCAGAAATTATTAGACCAGGAGGGGGGATGCATCTCACTATTTCCAGCCACCTAAAAATATCCACTGAAAATTAGTTGTCCAGGCTCTCTTCACTGCTGCTATAGAGGCAGAGGCCCTTCCATGAAGTACTTCATCTCAACTCGCCATAAGCCAGGCAGCAGTTCTCCTTTGACCAAGGAGGAAGCCTACACGGGTATGATTGTACTAGATTCCTATTTTTTTTTTCTTTTTTGTTCCTCTTCCTAAATTTCTTCTTTTGTTATTTGTCCGTGTGTGCTAATACAGCCCGATGTTGCATTCAAACCACAGCCAAGCTGTCATCTCTCTGAGATAAGCAGAGCTTGTCATGTTATAGGAACCAGCATGAGGTGTATGACCAAATGTTTAGAAATTCTACAGTATCTCAACTGTAACAGGAGTCCAAAGAGCTAAACCATACCTTGAAACGATGCTAAAAGCAGCCGCATCAGCTCTGCCCTGGTATTTCCAGGACTTCTGTTCATGGCAGCCCTCTGTGGATTCACTGTGGAGCTAAGTCTTCTGAAACTGCAGTTATAGAATCATAGAATAGTTAGGGTTGGAAAGGACCTTAGGATCATCAAGTTCCAACCCCCTGCCATGGGCAGGGATACCTCACAGTAGACCATGTCACCCAAGACTCCACCCAACTTGCCCTTGAACACTGCCAGGGATGCTGAAAATCTGGTCCTGGCACTATTCTGACACATCGCTGCTCACCTGAAACACTTCAGCAAGGTTATTAGACTGATAAAATGATTTAGTCAATTCTGACTTGTATACAAGGACAGAGAAGCCAGTCACAATGTATTTTTCAGCATATATATCTTTCTGTAACAACTTTTTGCTCAGATGGTATGATCTCCAACATGTTGACTTCTTGGATGTCACAAAAAAATTACTGTAAAACAAAAATTACTGTAAAGCATACATACTTACATATGTGTGTTATGTTTTGTGTTTTAATAGCGTGTAACAAAGGAAGACACCTTTGTGATGCCAGAAAATATATCTTAAATAACTCATGTTTATAAGAAAATAGCTGCAAGTTATGGTACTGATGATTTTGTATTTATGGGAACTCAGTGGGAAGTGAGTGGCTTCTAATCCAGGCTCAAATAGGGAGGCTTTTTTAATGGCAATGTCTTTCCTCTGCAAAGTGCATGCTTTAAAGGTTTGAGTTAGATTCTTTGGCCCCATGATCTGACTAATCAGACAGCTTAGAATTTGCAGACATTGTATCAGCATTTGTTTTCCTTAAATTCTGGGTATGTTGATGTGCCATTTGTCTAGGTGTGATTTTTCAGTTAGTTCTTGATCAGCAGCAATTTGAATGTGATGCAGCAGACCCCATCTGGACCTAACGCTGAATTTGTGTTGCTGGGAGATTTCAAGTAAATGTTATTGGAAAGTTTTATTATCTGCTGGGAATACCAACAAGGAAAGTCAATTAATGTCAAACAGTATTTTCACACTGCCATACCCTGAGGGTTGCTAAACCCTGGTCAGCTCTATGAAGATGTAATGGAAACAGAGTGCAGTTAAAGTTGAAAAAACTACTGAAGAGCTGATTACACTCCATCCATCACATGTATCTGAGGAATTTTGTTCTTAGAGATAAAAAGGTGCTCTATGGGCAGCTTGCCAGGCAATCACAACCTCCTGTGGCCCAGGGGTTGATGGCTGAGCCACTCCTACTGTCAAGTGATGCTCATCTGAACTTGGACTACGTTTTTTCCTTCCCACTCTGCAGTGCATTGATTGGTGCTGCTGGCAGATTTGCCACTGCGGTATTTCCCCCCTCTTCTCGCATAGAACAGATTGTCCTGTTGCAGCAACAAAAGGACCATAGCAGTTTTATCTCACTCTAGGAACAGGAAGCAAAATAAAGAATCCTACCAGACTGTTCATAAGCTTTCAAAACCAAAATGCACAAGGGTCAGAGTTCTCCGCCTGTGTGCTCCATCTATGGAAAGAAACAATTCATTGTTGAACCAGTGAATTCCTCTCCAGCAGATTTCTCAAGCACTATAAGGAGTCTGATACATTGAATGAGACATCTATGTTGAAGAGCTGAAGAAATGCTTACTCCTATTTTGCCTCAATCTGGGCTTTTTTTTTTTTCCTTTGTATTTGTTTTTCAAGAAAGGAAAACATTCTCAGTAGCTGTCAGCCTGATATCTGTAAAATGTTCTGCTTTCTCTGAATGACCACAGGAAAAAGTCTGAAGTTGAATGTTTTCTGGAAGTTGCATGAATTATATGAATTACTAGTCCTACCAAAAAATATTTGTATAAACAAGGAAGAACATATGTTTCCTATTTGATGTAAAATACAGTTTTCTTACAAAGAAACAGAAAACATTGAATTCCGTACAACAGAAGAAATAGTAATTCAGAATAGTTTTAATGTATATTGCCACAGCCTGTCAGTCACTGATGATGCTTGCCACTCCTTCCACCTGTTATTTTTTTCTATTTCATGCAAAACCACACTTTGCAAGAAAAGGGATTTTATGTCAGGACTCGATTAATAACTGAATGTAAGTGATGTTTATTAGCTACCAGGTTTATCAACTATCCAGTATTAGCCATTTCTGGGCAGAATGTGTGCCTTTGAAATGTAGATGATTGTTTTTGCAATAGTAACTTATTCACAGGATCCTCCATTTTAAATACAGCTTATGCTGCAAACAACATAGTGAAATACATACAAATGATTTCAGCAACCTCAGAATTTAAGATTACTTGTAGATCTTATGTTGTTTATAGACTAAATGCTGTGAACAAACACCATTTTACTATATTCTAAACAATATCTATGTGATCTGTCAATAAAATTTAACTGATGCATCCAGGTAGGATACATCTTGCTGAAAGATAGTTAAGTGATATTTCTTAGGTTGGACTTTCCTAAACTTGAGTGGTATCAGTGAATACCATGGAAGGTTCTGCAAATTTCTTTTTTGGTTCTGCAGAAAACTTCATAGTTTGAGTCAAGCTTGGTATGGGTGGAATGGGAATGAATCGATAAAATGTTTTTTTACAATAACTTCTGGCTCATCAGTCTTCTTGTGATTTCTACACCACAAAAAAACATTGATTGGTGCTTAATGATCTGAAGAGTATATGAGCCTAGGTACAGTTATATCTGACTTAAGAGATTTTTTTAGTCATCTGGGAATCAGACTGTGTGGATTTCATTCTTGGCTTGCTGAGTGATTTTAGGCGTATTCCCCATGTGCACAAATGAAGGGTCACTGGGGTTATGGTTAAACTGTGGAGCTTGGGGTATTTCATAGCTCCCAGCAGCAGCTAAACACCACTTGTGATCCAGCTCCATTTAGCACAAGGTCTGCATGAATGGTGGCTTTCCATTGGAACTGGTCACTTGGTAGGGAGCTATGGATGACGGAGGCCAGGGTTTTAAGGCATTGGGGTGTGCTAAATACGTTAGGACTGGAGCCCAGACAACCCAATTCTCTGCACAAATGAATTTCTGAAATCAAATAAATAGCATTCTTTGAGCTGCTATTTAATAATTGTTAATGACAGATCTGCTTAATAGCTTGGAATATGCTATGCAGTCACTGAAATGTGTAATTTTCTGTCAAGCCAGGAGCTAATTGATGCAGAAGACCAGATATAGTCTGTAGTTACCTATGCTTCAGTTCCCGTCTCTTTTGTTTGTATGCTGTGGTGTCTTAGAGCTAGCTAGGTCTAATGGAACCACAAAGCTGCTGGGCACTGAGGATGACCTGGGGAAAGGGAATGAGATGCTGACTGAGAAGCACAGATTCCTGAAAAGGTGTTAAAGGGGTCAAAGAACAGTGGGTAGACGGTAGGAAAATAAATGCCTTGAAAAGGTAGCTATGTTAAGAACTAATGTGGCACAGGGTGTTCCTACCAAGCAGAGGGAGATCTGATTGGAAGACCTCAGCAAACCTGGGAGTATCATCTCATGTTCCACTGGGTCAGTTTGCCCCAGGGTCCCTCGCAATAGAGCATTGGGACGCAGTGACCTGGCTGCAGTGATGTGGACTCAAAGATATTTCCATGAGACTGACCCTATCTTTTGCAATTACTGAATGATGACCCTGAACATAAATTTGCATGATTAGTGGGTCATTTTAACCTTCACTTTGTTTTCTGGAGAGCTGCTACCCAGCTGAACTTCTGTGCCTAGACAAGCACATAACAGGGCTCTTACTGAGCTGCATAGTATTTTTTTTAATGTCAACTCTTAATTTTGTGAAGATCAATCAGACTTCCCATTCTGCCCATCCCAAAGTTGACTCCAGCATTCTTGTGCCTTCCCTGCTCTTCTTTACTCCAGCATCACTTGCAGTTTCAGTGGCAGTTCTCTCTGTGATTGAGATCCTAAGGGTAACAACTGTAGATCAAGCAGAGGTTCCTCTGGATGCTCCTTGAGGTTTCCAGCTTGGCAATTATTCTCTGATAATTTAGTCTCTAGGCACATTTATATGAGAAAATTAAGCATGCCAGGAAATGGTCCTGGAACCGAGACTCAATCATTTGTGATATTTATGAACTGTTAGAACAGTCATGGCTGCGATTTTGGTGCAAGCCAGCTAACATTTTCTATAGCAATATTTGAGCATGGGTGAGGTTGACATGGACCAGAGACCACGTAGGCTGAGCAAGAGGCACCTTGTATGGTCACCATGTATGGAGGGGAAGAAAATTAAACAATGTGGACATAGGATGGTCTGTGCTAGAAAATGGGTCTAAGCATAGTTTAGTTCACTTGTAGGTTTGTATTGTTTGGATCTAGGCTTTTCATTGTAGTTGCAGATTATTATTATTTTTTAAAATATTTTGTGCATTAGTTTTTTATTTCTAATTTATGAAAACATGATGTGGGACAATGCCAGAAAGTGTGTTGATATTAAGTGGCACAACACTGTGTTTCCTTATTGATAAGGCCCAAACTTCTTTTGCAGAAGGAAATTAGATGGATTTGCCATAATATATTGACTGTGACTTCCCTCCTTGCTATTTTCTAAATGTTTTCAAATAACATGGATTTTCATTCTAGTACTCACCTGGGCTTAGGCTGGCTGACCTGTAATTCTGTAACTGCCATTTACCTCATTTTTCCAATGGGAGACCCTTGAATTTCCTTTGCCAGCCTTCTGAAACCTCATCTATCCTCCATGAACTCTTCAAGGTGGTGGTTTTGAAATGGTGTTGGAGTGTATCTCATCAAACCAACTTTTATCACCGCTCTTTCATCTTCTATTTCCCTGCTCTAAACTGAATTCTTGCTCTCTTCTCTCTTGCAGTAATACCATTATCTACTTTGAACACTTTAATGTCGTTGTAAGCTTTCTTTTTCCACCAAGCAGGGACCTATTCTTTGAAAAGTGTTCAGATACTACCGTGAAATGAGACACAACTTTAATAAAATATTCTGTTGGGCTCTAGGAAAGTAAGGCATTCACATGTCTATAACCCCGGAATATAACCTGCATTTTGTTAGTTGTTAAATACGTTTATGTGAGACATTTGAGCAAATGTGGGAATGAGTTGTGTCAAAAGCTTAAAAACTCTTTTGTTCGCTATAATGATTCTTTTACCTTTAGCACTTGTTACACTGTTTAACTTAGGAAGGAATGGCTTATGCATGCACACATGGCAAAGCATACAGAAAACCACTTTATTATTTGTCAAAACTTGTGCTGAACTATTTGAGACAGTATTATGCGGACTTTCTTTTTTAGGGAGTCATATGGGTGGCTAGTTTGGTAATGGAATTGGCAAAGATGATGTTGGCTAAGTGGTTGGATCAAGAGCTTTGATGTAATAAAGCACTTTCAAGGCTTTTTCTACAGTGTTTTGGACAGTCAGGAGATCAGCTATCACTGTTCCATTATGTTAGTCCCCGTGGATATTGCATGCTGATACCCACCAAGTTGCTTAAGTTCATTAACTTCCAAGAACTTATAATCTAACTAACACAATTATTTTTTTTATTTAATTCTGGATTAGATTTATTAATTAGTCTTGCATAGATTTAGAAATTCTACATATTTCATGTTTATTTCTGGTAGGAATGTGAGAATGCTTCTGAGTCTTAATGGAAATGTAAAAGACAATTTAATTTCGATTGAAAAATTTTGTTTTCAAATGGACTCTAGTTAAAAGCGTTTTAATAACATGGTTACTGGTAGAATAATCACAGAACTTTATCTTTGCTCTAGGCACAGTCTGCCCACTGAGACATGATGTATTCATCATCTGTTCTCATTTGTAGAATATATTTCATTATAGTCTGATATTTCCTAAATTTTCTGACCTGGTATTCTGGAATACCGTATTTGTAGAATTAGAATACTATCATTGCAAAGTAACTATCACATTTTCTGGAAAAATCCAATAGTTCATCCTGGACATTGAATACATAAACATTGTTATGACACTGATGTTTCCACTCTACCAGCAGAATTTCTAGCAATTTACTGACTTCTGTTATTAACATATGGTAAAAAAAGGTAAAACGTTTTATCAAAAGGTCGGTCAGTGGTATTTAAGAGACTGATCAATCTCTCAGGGTAGAATTCATCTGAGACTGAGACAGATTTAGATCTGTAAATATAGGTGCTTGGGAGGTCCTGTTGTGGAGTCAGTGGTGCTTGGAGGTTAGTCACTGACATCTTAATTTGATTGCCTTAACTTAAGGTGTCTACCACTATTTGAGGGACCTCAGGATGTAGCAGACATTCACACAGTACATCCACAAGACAACACCCCTTTGGAAGACCTGGGTCCTTCTGGAGTGGCAAATTAAGGTGCAGCAGGATGCCTTGCTGAACATTATACAAAAAGCAGTATGTGTCTAATTTCAGGCAAATATGGATCAACCCCTTGACATTTACTTTGGGACACAATGAATGGTTCTACAGGCTTCACTGACTGGGTTGTCCAGAACACTGCTGTCGGTGGAAACCTTACACATCTGGCTTGCCAATGGATGCCTGCACGTAAACATCTGAATTTAAGTATTTGAATCTGAAGCCAAGTTCCCGTGTGGTGCAGGAACCGAGTATTTACAAACAACTTGGAATATTACGCATATGAAATCCTTTTAGATGGAACAAAATAAAATAATTCCATGTTTTAAAAAATATTTCTGTGAAATTAATGGAATACTGTTAGGAAAATATATTTTTTTTAATTCTTTATCTTACATCTGTACAATTCTTGTTTTCTTCAGTGGCTAGACACATACCCTCTTCCCTACCAAAACCACTTTTTGACTTGTGTGAATTCATGGTTTGCTGCAGACAGATAACATTTGGGTTCCTACATATTAGTCATACCTGTGGTTAACATAAACGGGTGAAATCAATCAAACTAAGATGTATTCTTGAGAAGGGTTTAATCCTGTTTGCATGGAAAGGCATTCTTTATACTCCATATGACCAAAATAGACCTTTTAAAAGGTGTCCACAAAAAATCATTGACAGTTCTGTGTTCTCAGCTTTCTCTCTCCTGTGGATAAAATTCCAGAGAAGATTCTGATAGCTAAGGACAGAATACGTGTGATAGGGAAGTCTCAGAGTTTCCTAGTCCAGTTGCATAAAAAACATCAGAGGCATATAAATACATTCCAAAGTTGTCAGGAAGCAATGCTGTTCAATTCCTCATTATTCAGAAGGTATGAAAATGACCCTGCATGTACGGGAAAGACTCTAATCATACATTTATGTCAGTCACATGTACTTTAAAGGAGTGGGGCCTAATTCTCAAATCCATGCAAGGCAGTTTTCATGAGTGAGCAGTAAAACGTATCTTTTCACTGCATTAAGGGTGAACATTTCCCCTTATGTGGGAAACCTTAGCTGCTACAAAGACTGCAGGATCATTTTCTGATCTCTAGTGCCAGCTCCCTTGTTACTCACGGTAATGGAAAATAATTGCTCTTATGTGTGCTGGAGCCTCATCACGGAATGGCGACAGGCACTTTCCTGCTTGCTTTTAAGTTTGGGCAGAATTTAGCTGTAATGAGCTAAAGACAAAAATATGAAGCCTGAAGTAACCCCTCTGTTAGTGGGGGGACAATGCTGAATGAAGCCTATGAAGAAGGTTCCGTGTAGGAGCTTTTTACACTGTAATGTGCACCCATTAAGCATTTCTGTATTGTTGGTTCAGCATTGCTATAAATCTGTATGCTAAACTGATTACAAATCCCATCTATCTTGGTATTAGTTACATACTAGTTATCCAGTTTGAGGCTTTCAGTTGCTGTCCTGATGGATAGCTGGATTGAAGAAAGTAAAAAATGTTCAGTAATGCTCGTGGTTTTCTGACGTAGGCTTGGTTTAAAGAGCTCTCAAGATCTGTCACATTTTAGTAAAGTGGAAGTTGGGAACTCTTTCAAAAGCAGAGAGATGCTGATAGCATTAGCCACAACAAAATCTGGTATTGCTAAGAGAAGAAACCACTAACAGGCATTCTGCTCTTCGTTGAGAAGCAGATAGAACATGTAAGGCACCACAGTACACAAGTCAAGGTTTTGGTCTAAAGAAACCACTGCCTGACACATTTCAGCACTGTTGCTCAGTTTCAGCGCCAGCTTTTACTCCTTGATCTGTGGAGAAGAACTATTCATTCATTCTAACACCTAGACCGCAATTAAATTGGTGAGATTATGAATCAGTGCTGTTTTAGCAATAAACTGGGGTATGGTTGAAACAAAGTTCTCTGCAAGGCAAAGTGGAGAGTATGTTTCTAACAGCACGGGGCACCTTCAGGTGGCATTGGTGACAATAGCTTTGGGTTCTTCCTGGACAGGATCAGCATGAGGTGTCTGTCTCTCTAGGCTGCCTCAAGAGTGATGGAGTTCCATTGCAATGTATCATGAATTTCTGCTGGGATATTTGCCTGGAAAAGAGTGTTTCTTAACAGCTCAAGTCTAAATAAAAGAAACATCTCATCTTGTGCAAGAGTTTGTAGGGATTCAGAGAAAAAGTACACAGTTTTCTTGAGCAAGTAAGTCCCCGACCAGACGACTGAATCTGAAATTCTTCTTCTTTCACTGACAGATAAAATCCAATTTGACTGGCTTCATGCACACGGCCAAGGTCATGCCTTTACAGGGCAAAATGACTTTTCATGCTGGCTCCTAGTGTCAGTTTGCTTAGCTGATGTGCTTAGTCAAACTGGTATCCTGACAGAAGCTTAGCAGTACTGTGGCAAGTTATTAACAGCTGCAGAGAAAACTTGATCAGCACTGGAATTTACATCTTCTAAATGAAGATAGGATGTTCAAGAATATTCACTGTTGACCCGACCATGTTACCACTGTGAAAAACGGCAAGACTCCTGCTAGAAGGGAATATAGCATATTTTACAAAACATAAAAGAGTCACAGCACTTATTAGCCTTTCTCTCCTTTAATTTCTTTGATAAATAGGTGGATTTACTGTCCAGATATAAAAAAAGAGTTAATGCAAATTCTTTCATTATCACAAGCTAAAATATACTGAAATCTAGATGGCATTTATGAGCAAATCAGCACTTAATAATTATCCAGATAAACTGAAATGGTAGTTTCAGAAGAAAGTTGGTGTTCTATCAGTGATGAACACAAAATCCAAATTTAAATTCATGTTGCATTCCCACAGAAGATGTGTAAGGTTCCTGGTATAAAACTAAAAATAATTTTACAAAGCCATTACTATTTAAGTCTTAAAATGTTGTTAAATATGTGCTTGAAAAACAGAGTGGTGTAAAGAGTTCTCTGTGGATTTAGTGGTAGCTTCAGTGCCATTAAATTGCACTAACCTTCATTTTATATTTTAAGGCTGTTTGCATCAGACTGCTGTGTTTACGTGAGTTCAGAATGTGTGCTTGTGGGTAACCAGGGGACAATAAGCATGCCTGGGTTAGCTTTGACACTTTTCCATTCCACAGTTATAATCAAATGAAAATATGTAGAAATTTAATTTGAAAAGCACCATTAAATTGCAGAACATAATAGTGCTAGGACACAAACTGTGTAATAAACCACAAGGGAAAGTGATGATTACAGTTTTGAGTTTCTTCTTGTGGGCTCTGTTGGGTTCATATGACATACGCTACCAAAGTATGTCTGTTCTTTCCTCAGTGGAACAAAAGTCTAATAATTGCCGCTTTCCTCTGCATTAACTATGGTATTTAATTTGTTATGTTGACATGCCATCAGTCTGTCATTTGGTTCTGTTTCAGCACAATGTTTAGGTTCATGGGGTGTCTCCATCAAGACGAGCAGGACTTTCCTCCATTCCCTGCTGTGTAGCATGCTGGCTGGCAAAGGTGACAAAGTGGATCTCAGTGAGTTCATTATGTGTGATAGATAAAATCACTTTCCTACATGATTTATTTATAGATGATAACTGGTAGGAGCTGGACTGTGTAATGGAGTAGATTGCTTGGTCCCTTGTAAACAATATCCCATTTCTTTAGGGAAGGCATTGAAGAATTACTGGTTGTAACCCCACAGATTGGCACCTTTTCAGCAGCTTGGGTCAACTCATAAAGTTGACAGCTTCCAGGGGGAGTGCAAGCAACACCTTCAATTTTTCATCATTTCCCCGTCCTGCTACAACTATAAAGAAAGGCTATGAATGGTTTTATTGTGAATCACCGAGCTGATGCCAAGTAAAGATAGACCAGAGCTCTCCTTCAACAAAGATCCTAAGTGCTTGCTTGGGACTCTAATTCTGGCCCCTCACAGAGTTGGCAACCGTCAAACTGATCTGTCTCACACTAGCAAAGGGTGGGAAAGCAGTGGGGCATTTAAAATGAGATACTTCCCCAGCCAATTTGCCCATTTGACAAACTGAATTAAGTTCTTTCAGGGGTTATCTGAAGTCTTCATTAAAGAGGCTCACAGCAGCTCTCCTCAGTGAGCTCCAGGCTGAATTGAGGTTTAAATCCTGAATGGCAGAGAAGGGCTGAAGGCCTCCTTTTCTGGTGATGTTGGTGAGAGTTTGATCATGAAGAGCTTGTCTCCTGCTAGGCTGTGTTAAAAGGGTGTTGGAAAGAAAAGAGGCTGCCACATGGGTGGCAAAAGATAGGGCTCTGACAGCTTGTTAAAAGGAGAGCGGGACACCTGGACGCCTGCCTTAGGGGGAGAAGGTCTCTACCAAATAAGTGTTCTGGCTCTTTTGGGATCTAGCCTGTGATGCTCTGCTCCCCCCTATACATGGGATTTAGAGGGAGTCACTTGCTTCTGAACATCACTTCAGCTCCCCTAAAGCCTGACACGAGTCCCTTTTTGGGGAGCATATAAACCTGTGGTGCATCAAAAAGTATTTTAATGCCAGCCCTGTCTCTGTCAGTGAAGAAATTATTACTCATGGGAAAAAAAATAAATAAAAAAATCTGTGTATGCTGACATAAACCCGTGCCCTGTAATTTAGATTTCTAAATTACGTGATGTAGCCATCACATTGATTACGCTGTAGTTATACTGTGTTGCTATTAACTGTCTCTTAGTAGGATGTGTTTTAGTGTGGTAAAGTCTACACAAAAACACCCAGAGCTGCGTATTTCATCTTCAAGGTTACTAGTCCATTTCATCAGGAGCTTAAAAATAATGAGTGTGTTAAACAGAAAAGCCATAACATACGCAAATTCCCAATAGCTTTTTTATTTTGCAACTAGCCAGAAACTAAGTTGGGCAGTGCTGGTAGAATTAAACATTTGTCTGTAATTGAAGGACTGCATTTCACCCTGTTATATGTAAATTCAGAGTAGGTCCAAATCCAGGAACTTCATTTTCAGCATGTATAAATGTAGAGAGTAGAGATGTTGTTATTGTTTTGTGGATGGAAATATTTTTATATTAATTAAAA